GGGACCCACAAGGATCATCGAGTTCAAATCTTCAGTGAATGGCCTGCACAGGGATCAAACCCACACCCTTGGTGTTATCAGCACCATGCTCTGACCAGCTAAGCTAATCTCTATGCCAGGAACTGTGGAATTGGGCTGAGCCCATAGTTTGACCTCAGCCACATAAATTTCTATGTTTTCTATGAAAGTTTTTTGAATTGTTCAGCAGCCCTGAAAAATTGCATTTTTTCCCCACCTGACTCAATTAGACAGCTGTGAAAGAGGATTAATTGCTCTGAAATCAATAATGCTACAGAGCTATTGCTGACATCAGCACAAAATAATGTCAACACAGGACAATGTAGATTGGGTATGATAATCTGAAACATTTTTGTACTATTAGCATACACATAACTACTTTTTTACACTCATTTTATACCTATTACAATGATTTAATGGGAGTCAGTGTAGACCTACACTACAGCAACTGAGAGAAAAATTTGGTTTTAGAATAAAAATAGATTAAAGATCATTTTCCACAGCCATCCCTGAAACACGTGTCAATAAAGGTGAATATGAACAATGAGTTTTCTCTAACTGGCTAAAAATACTTGCTTTGACACTCTACAATAGTAATCAATTTGGACATGTGGTTGGTGCTTTGAGATGATTTAGTAATTGATTTTAAAACAGATGGCAGCTGTCAAATAAGCATTTGTATTTATTTGATGTTTCTATGAGAACCCTTGGGGTTTCACCATCTCAGTAGTCTTTGTTTTCTCCTTTCCTAGACCCTCTTGCTGTTCTCTGATCTCTCTTCCTCTCATGTTCTTTTGATGCATCCTTACTGACAATTTCTTTTGAGCTTTCTTTCCCAATGTAAGCCACGGCCTTTATGTCAGGTTTTAATTTCTTTTGCTTAAAATTCCTTTTTATTAACAGTTTTAATAAAACAGCAAAATGTCTTCAGCACACCAAATACTTCATGATCTGAGCATCAGCTACAATACATCACACAAACAGAACCATTGGTTATGCTCCCCAGAATTGCTGTACTTTACCAAATCAGCAATAAATGACCCTGGTCCTGAGAGTTTTTGAACTTTAAATTGCTGCTGTCTTCGTTTGGTTTTTTTTGTTTGTTTTTTTGGTGTTTTTTTTGGTTTTTTGGGTTTTTTTTGTTTGTTTTGGGTTTTTTTGTTTGTTTGGTTTTTTGTTTGTTTTTTGTTTTTTTGGTTTTTTGTTTTTGTTTTTTTTGTTTGTTTTTGTTTTGTTTTTGTGGGGTTTTTTTGTTGTTGTTGTTTGCTTTTTGTTTTTGTGATAGAAAGAGTTGCAATGGTACAGGTCAAACCAGAGGACTGGTCTTTGTCTTCTTGTGCAAGTCTCTCTTTCTGTTAACTACACTTGAAAATTGCAAGTTATTTGTGTCTTCTAACAAGAAGGCCCAGGAAAAGGTGGGGTTTTTTTCACTTGAATTTTTTTTCTCAGTTTTTTCTCCTGATATCACTGGAAGTCATCTCTAAGCTACCAATGGATTTCTCAGTCAGTCACTGGTGAAGACTTCATTTTTTCCAAACAGCAAGCCAGAACTTTGCCACCTTCAGCAAAATTCACAAATATGACTCAGGATAGACAAAGGCTGCAGAATTAGTTGGATTTTAGAAAAGCATGAAGAAACCTCCATGGCCACGGCATTTACCTGTTTGTTCCCTGAAGTGAGATAAAAGTCTCCCATTTCACTGCTCTGTTAAGTGCTGCTGGAATTAAATTGCAGTTTGAAACAATCTGGTGGCTGCTTACCTTTACACATGCTGGGCTAATTTTTGATGACAGACCTACTAGAAATGCCCACCCAACTTCTGATCCACTGTTCAGTCTTTCCAGGGATTACCCACATGGTATCATAGCCAAATGCTACATCCAATCCCATATTAACCACAGGCTGTCTCTTGGCAGCTGAGAACCACTGCAAGGGATTTCTCATTCTGCTCCCTGATGGTGAGCAGGAGAGCTTCTGTCAGGAAACACATCCTTCAGAAAATATGGCATTCCCACTTTGGGAATGGCCCATCTGAATGCTGCTCAGGATTCCAAAGACATCTACCCACATAATGCACAAACCTTGAATTCAGCTCAGGGAACCTTCCTCTCATCACACCTCTGTTATTTCCTCCAGTTTCTTTTCTCCTCCAATGATGTTGAAGTCTCTAAGAAGGATATATATACAGAGTTGTCAATGAATAATCTCTGACCTAGGACTTCAAATTCTCTCCCTGAGGGTCTGTTAATTTAGAGGACTCTTTGTTTCACTCAGCTTTGAAATGATCATTCAACTGGGCCCTACTCAGCAAGAAAAAAGGATTAAAATACACATCCTGTAAAATTCCCTGAGCACAAACATGTTACTGGCTAATACATGTCCCCTCTGCAGAGTCACTCCTCATGAGCAGAGTCATCCAGCTGTTTCAGAGTGATTCCTTGCTGAATGTGCTGAGATGGAATAAGCACTGACTTGTCTCAAACCCCGTGCTTGAAGCCAGCCAACAGCTCTGAACAGCCCTTGTTCAGCTAAGGCAGCCACACACTTTATTCTCACTATTTTTCAAGTTTGCATGCCCCTGTTGGAGCTGGTAAGCAAAACTGTGTAGAAAGATGGAGCACAAAGCCACCAGGATCTGATTGAGGAATCTCAGCTGCTCACTCACAGCATCCTGACATGGAGCATTCAGAGACTGCAAGCTCTGGGGAGGAGGGCAAAAGTTTTGATCAATTATCACTTTATGCTCTCAGTCAGAAGGTCATGATCCAAATATGTAGGGAGCCTTTAGTGTATAAGGAGAATCTGTTTTTTCATACACGAGGCAGGATCTGAACCAACTTTAGAAAGACTCAGCAGTATTGAACGCAGGTGATTTTCAGAGCATGTGCTAAATGCAAACACAAAGAATAAATTGTGTCCAAGAACAAATTGCAAATAATTTTTTCTTTCAGCTGAAAGAACTTTCTGGTACTAATCCATTCTATAGTCCACAAGAATATTCTCTGGCTTGCTAAAACCAACTGATCTCTCTAATGGCAGCAAGGTCCTGGCTTTGTTTCAAGGCAAAGGTTCACTCAATTAAATCTCATTAACAGAGGACCACAAAACCTGCACTAAAACCTTTCTGGGTATGTGACCTTCAGCAGAACTGCTTCATTAAGTCTGGGATCCTGGAGAAAATGTTTGCTGAATAAAGTCATTCCTAATTAATGTTAAAATGTCAAGGATTCATCTGCCATCCATCTTTACTCCTTTTCCTTTATGCTCTTCATTATCCCTTTAATGGGTAACCAATATAAAAGTCAAAAGCAGCATCTTTTAAATGTCCATATAACAGGTGTGACAATGCAGCAAAGCAAATTTGCCAGATGTGCTTTCCTATGAAACATTTGTAACTTCCTAAATATCTTTCCAAAACCCAACTTGCATGCTGCCATTAAGCATTGATTAATTAATTTGCTATTTCTGGATAAAATCATAAATATTGAAGGTGAATTTTCCCTTGCACCTTTTCTGATGTTACCTCAAGTTTTATTCCAAGTTATATGCAAGTCTTGATTAACAAAGTGTTTATTTACCCTGTGATGAATATAATTGTCTGTTCTCCAAGGCTTGTTCAGCCAATTTTTATTTTTTTAATTAAACAGTGTCTGGTGAGTTTCTACTCTTCAGACCAGAGGGATGTCCTGGTTGGACTGGGGATTCATCAGAGGGTGGTGTACAAACCTGGTGGGTCTGAACTCAGAAAATCCTCATCCATTTTTCCAATAATCTGTGATGGCAGCAGACATTGGAGCTGCTTGGACCTGTGTAGCAGGTTTCTTTTTTCCTTCATGGTGAAGGCTTTGAAACACTCTGTAGCCTCTTTAATTTTTATTCTCACATTAAAGTAATGGGACCCATCTTCCTGCCCATCAATCTGTACAGCATATGCAAGCCCTTCTGGTGGTTTAAAAAGGAATGACTCACATGATATTAAGCCTCTTAATGAAAATGTATTACATTATTGTCTCTCACAAAATGGGAGGTTTAAAAAGCCAAGTTAATGTCTTCCAAATGTCAGTAACTGGAAACACTTTGGACCAAGAGTGAATTTTGTAGCTTTTCTGCAGATCTATGAGATGAACTCATTTTAACAATGAAGGATATTAGATTATATGAAAAGTATTGGAAATTAGAAGTTATTTGAATTTGAATTCAACGAGAACTAGGTTTTGCCAGTATTAAAAAGAATTTCATATGATGACAATATTGTTTTCTCCTTACATACTTGAACTCTGACATGTTTGCATTGGCATCTTTCTGAGCACCTCTTCAGTGGCAATTATATGACTGAAATCTCAAAAATCCCCAAATTCAGTGATATAAATAATCAGGCTCTAATTTTGGCTACTGATGGCAAATTGCCTTGCAAAAGTGATTTTAAAAATGTAATAGTGATAAAAGTCAAGATGGTATCCAAGGCACAGACTCTAAGCCTGGTATCTTGAAGTTCCAGCCTTTCATAACTTACAGAAAATTTCTATATTTATTTATTCCCAACTGGCAACAGAACTTAGGGATATTTAAATTGTTGCTGAAGCACTTGTATAAACACAATTTGAATTGACTGACATGTGTCTGGTCTGATGTTGTGAACCCTAGTCATGTGCAGGGCACATGGCAGGAGCAGCAGGGCCTTTATGCTGTCATGAGTGTGTGTACTAATATGAATAATTTTATGTTTCTTCAGCAAAGGTAATTAAGCCTAATAACCTATAAATACACAGTAATTGTTATCAATTGTGTTCATTTGTGTATATGGCATAATTTGATGAGTATATTTGATTGATATTCCTGTGGCATCCTCCCTGTGCTGTGATTAGACTGAGATTTTCATATCTGCACTGCTTCATTTATTGCTAACTAGTAATTTACTTCTAATAGCCTTTTTTTTTGTGTTCTCTCTCTCTCTATTTTTTTTTTTTTTTAATATAATTAGAGGAGATCTTGAAGACTCACATTGCTCACTGGTGGTCTCCTGATGGCACCAGGCTGGCATATGCAACAATCAATGCCTCCAGAGTCCCCACCATGGAGATCCCCATATATACAGGCACCCTTTACCCTACTGTTAAAACTTACCATTATCCAAAGGTAAGGGAAAATAAAATAATCAATCCTGCTGCTCTATCAGAAATAAATAATTGTTTAATTCCAGTAGGCTCAGACAGGAGACTAATAGTGCACACTCATAAGCAATGAAAATAAACAGATCCAAGGGAAGATGAGCTGTTCTCCAGTGAATGTGGTCACCTCTCTTCTTTAGCTGCATTTGTAAAATTGCACTTTTCTGTTCTATGAGAATTAGTAGAAAATAGTATGAAAATAAAATTTAAATAAATAAAATTTATTTTAAATAATAAATATTCTAAATAAAATTTTAAAATCCTTGCTTTTTACGTGCACAAAGCAACTGTGCTTCCATGCTGGAACGGGTGGAAGTCAGATGGTGTCTGAGTGTTTGGATTTTCTATAATTCTATGTTTGGATATGCTTCTATATTTAGACATGTTTCTATATTTAGATTTTGGATAGATAGATAGATAGATAGATAGATAGATAGATAGATAGATAGATAAACACATACACACATACACACATACATATATTCTGTATTTAGATAGATTCGCTTTTGTATAGAAGGAAAATGTAGTATTTGGGCATCCTTAGAATATCCAGGATGGCCTAATGTCACAGGATACATTGGTTTTAGAGGTTTGCTGTGCCTGAAAGACAGAAAAGACTTGAGAGCCAATGTCCCCTTGTCTGCAGAGACCTGCAGTGAGTGCACAGTTCTCCACCAGCACAGACTCACTGCTGCTCTTATTGCTGCAATTTCCTGCACTAAAGCAGTACAGGGGTGTCTGCTGCAGTCATTCCTTCTGGGTTTCTTGCTTTGAGCACTGATTGCCTAAGACCTCACATGCTGGTCCAAACTGAACCATAATATAACAGGAGAGATACCTGCATATATGCAGGTTTTGTGGAATTCACAATGGTTCAGCAGGGGATGCCCTTTCCTACAGTACAAAACGAATCAGTATTTTACTATATCAACCATCATCCTATTCGACAACCTTTTGTCAAAAGGGGCAGGAAATAACAAAATGTCTAGTTACCATGAAAAGTAGGATTTTTTTACCAAGGTTAGAAGCATCCTGAGTAAAATTTCCCCTTGTTTGTGCCTACCAACCTCTCCACACCTCTGTACCACATCCCTAGATCTGCAGTCTCCCTGTGAAAGACCATAGCAGTCCAATCCTTATCTTGTTCAGTGGGAATGCTTTTTAGAATTCCTGGGGATAAAATAAATCAAAACCATTCTGTGTTGTATATGATATGGTAATTTATTCTTTTCTAAAATCCAGGCTGGAATGGAAAATCCAACTATTTCTTTGCATGTGATTGGACTGAATGGACCCACTCATGACCTGGAAATGACTCCCCCAGATGATCAGAGAATGAGGTAGGTGCTTTCTCACCCTTGAATGCTGCCCCCAGTTCCCTTGGGGTTTTTCAAGACAATTTTACAGTTTTTAATACTGGACCTTTCTTTGCTGCTATGAAAAAGTTTCATTTTATGTAAATCTGCTTAATTTTTTTTTTTCAAATTACTTGTCTTTTACCTGTATTTTATAGACTATTATATTAGAACAGGTTTACAATTAAAAACTCTAAAATAATCCAAATCCGTTTATGCAAAAGAAGATATATGGCCTGTGGCCAAACCAAATGGACATTTGCCTTTCAAAAATACAACTTCAGACCTGTGTACAGCAGGTGGGAATTCAGGATTACAGTATTCCCATCACAGTATCAGAATGGTGGCTCCTGAACAAGATAATTTCTCTTTGGTAGCATTTTCTGTAAACAGAGAGACTCAGAAAGGTTTTAATTACAGCAATAACTTCCAACTGCAGGATCCAAGTGTTGTTCATAAATTTTTTCTATATGGTTATGGGTGGCCATAATTTATTTGGTTGCAATCAATATTGCAAAATGATGCAAAATATATCATAAGTAATTAATGCCTGCATATTTCATCAAAACCATGGCAATTGCCATCTCTAGGGATGATAGAAGCAGTGCTGCCACAGCAATAGGGGTGTCTTTTCATTATGCATATGTTTTCTGAAATGAGAGGATTAGTATGATAAAATTTTATTAAAATAGGCAAGAGGGATGTGCTGTACATTCAGTTACAGAAGAGAGTTTCAAGAAAGCAGGGCAAGGTGGTGATAAGGATCTTCCAGCAGACACATCCTATCTGAGGCATTTCAGTGTTCTCAGTGCAGATGATATATGGACAGAATGGTATTTCATGTTCTTTTTATCTGGAGCAAAGTAATTTAGTACAATTAATAAAGCTGATAATAAAGTGAAGATATGCCACGGCCTTTTTTCTTTCAAAATTGAAAGAAGCCAGAAATTTTCCACAGGAATTGGATATTTTTCAGTAAAAAGAAAAAAAACCCAAACCAACAAAACAAAACAAACAAAACAAAGCCGATGATGAGAAAACATACTTGGGGATGAAATGTACAATATTGATCACTTGTCCTTTTAAAAAATCTTTCATTCTAAACATTTTGGTCAAGTTTTCTCCAATGCCATGCTCTTCTGTGAAAAAAAAAAAAAAGAAAGTGAATTAAAGGGGTTAAAATTGAAGGGGGGAAAGTAGTACTTAAAATTAATACGTGATAGGCATTTTTTATTTTGGTGAAAACTGCTGGACCTCAAGAGTTTCATCTGCACATGGATGAATTGGATCATCACCCACCTTATTTCTCATATTTGCATCTCAGGTGGCAAACTGAGGGATGATGTTATCTCCCTCAAGTACAGAAATCATCACTGCCCCTTTCATGGGGCAGTAATAATGGAAAATAATCATAAAATAAATAATGGAAAAACTCAGCTCCAGTCTGGATCTGAGGAGCTGTGTGTGCCCCAGGGACCATGAGCTGGGCTGCTGCCTGTCCCTTGGCCTGTAATAAGTCACTGTCTGTTCTGTGTGGTGTTTGTGGCTTTATTACCATGGTATTCATGTTGTAGACTCACACCTCATGTTTGGGATTCCTGGCTCCAGGAAGCAGCCATGGAAAGCTGGGGCACAATAGGAACAACATGAACACACATGAACAACAACACACAATGATCTCAGTCCCAGATGATTGCAAACCAAACCAACAATGTCTTTGCTGGGACGTGGAAATCCATTGCAAAACTCAGGATGGCTTCACCCTTCCTGACAGGGCTCACACAGGGTGTCCCTTCCCTTTTGCTCTGATGTGGATGTCTGTAAATGCAGTGCTCAAGGACCTGCTGGTGTCTATTTGGTTGTGTGGAAGAAACAGGCTCTCCCTTAAATGAGCTCCATGTAAATGTGGGGCAGGTCAGGCAGAGAGGCCTTGGCAATTGCACTCATTTCCCATTTCTCTCCACTGGCTGCCCAACCAGTGCAGCTGCAGAAGCAGCAGATGTTTCAAATTAGCAGAGTTGAATCACAACTTCTTGTCTCATTTTCCTCTGCAAAATGGGAACCATAAAACTTGGGTGTCCTATAGAAGAGATGTGAAGGGAAGTAAATGAAATTAAAGACTCCACACTACTCAAAAACTAGACTAATGACTATCCAGGTATCTGCAGTTATCTATGGGCTGGGTTATCCATGGTCTTGATGGCTGGAAGAGGATTCAGAGAGAAATTGAGACTCCAAGTCCTTCTCTAGGGTGGTAGGGAAAACCATGATTCACCTGAAATAATAATTAAAAGTTCCTGAGAAAGAACTGTGGCTTCTGTGTTCAGACAGTGAGAGAGATGTAAAAACTGAATATATGTACTTGAAACTTTAAATGGAATTTATGGAAAAAATGCTCAAAGCCACAATAAGTGCTAAAATCATATTCCTTTTTCTGGGGAGACTGAATCTGCTATGTTCATTTTGGAGAGAAAGAAGGGGTACTTATACAGTTTAATTTTGCTGTGTTTGTTTTGCTGTGTTTTTTCCTCTTAGGGCCTACACTGTTGCTGATAAAGAGTAAAATTACAATTTTATTTCAGGCTCTAAATTTTCAGACTGCTGTTGTCTCACCTGGGCATATCCTTCCTTTGCAGTGCAGCGGATGCAAGAATTGAGGCCTTTTGTTCCTTTTGCCCACAGCCAATTTCAGGCACTAAATATTACTGAAAAGTACAAAATCAATTTCCAGATTGTTATTTTTCTAGACAAACAGACCTTTGTGCTTTTGCCCTTTCTCTTCAGTATATGCAGGAGCTCTTGCCAGAACGCATAGGACTCTCCAGTGACACAGTGCTTTATTTCCAATGAGAGCAACAATTCCTTATACATATTTTATAGCAAACAAATGAACTAATAAATTTTTTATAGACTGTATGCTGTAAAAAGTCATATTATACTTTAAGGATACCTTGGCCCACATGGCCCAGCAGTATATTATAACATCACCAGCTTTGGCAGTTCAGCCAGAGCTGTGTCCTACAAATGAAGTGGTGAAGCCCTGAATTTCTGCACAGGTGAGCACCATGTCCTGGCTCTGAGAACCATCAGTGAATATATTCCTGTATTTTCGAGCCCAGCCTAAGTGGTTGCAGCCCTCACTATTGCATGGGACCTTTCCTGAAGATACTGATTGCAGGACTGTGCAGCCCACACCCATGATTTACTCCAAGTATCATCACAAGCTGAGTATGTCCAGCACTAAGATGGTGCAGGGAGTGTAGGAGGGTGGTTTTGCTCATGCAAACTCTCTCTGCTGATACCTTTATGGCAAGCAGCTGCATCTGCTTTACAGAAACCCTGTGTCACTCCAAACTCCATCCTGCTTGCTATTTGTCTTTTAATGCAACACTCCTGGATACTTTAGTGTGTAGCAGGCATACTCAGAGGCCATCCACTTTTCATAAGCATCAAGAACTCAGCCATTGATAGTGATTGGTCTGAGACAGCTCAGGTTAATGTGCTCAGAATGGAAATGGTTTGCAATTTCTTTTCCACCTGTGCATAAATTTGTAGCTCCAGGCAGTTCAATCCTTCTCGGAAGACAGAATAGCTTGAAAGATTCTTTATCTCTATATTTGTCTCTTCTTTGAAAATAACTTCCAGAAATGGCAGATAAAACACCTGCACAGCCCTAAAAATGTCATTTTTAGGGGTTGAAATCCATACATAAAGCAGCCTGGAGACATCAGCACACGATGTTCTTTAAAGCCACAGCTCTCTCCTGGACCATGTGCCTGCAGCAGCCCCTGACTGCTCTGCCACGGGGCAATTCATTAGGATGGCAGCGTTGTGATCTGGTCTGTGTGTGCCTGTGTTTGCAGGGACTACTACATCACCATGGTGAAATGGGCCACCAGCACCAAGGTGGCAGTGAACTGGCTGAACAGGGCCCAGAACGTGTCCATCCTGACGCTCTGCGACGCCACCACCGGGGTCTGCACCAAGGTACGGGAGATGGGCACAGCCAAAAAATGTCACTTCCCACCAGAGCTCATAACCCATGCCAGGGGAAACTATTTAACTAATTTTACATGATGAAAAGTCGGCTGGAACACATTAATTTAGGCAGACAGAATATAAACAATGTTCACATTTTAAAATTCTTTTCTAACACCAGAAATCCAAGAACACTCTGTGTGCATTTGAGGGACAGTGATTACCTGTCTTGAAATACCTTTATCCACACACAATTTGCAACCTAAATACCTTTGCAACATTCTAGCTGCATTATATGTATTTAATGGCATTAAAACCAGATCATGCTTATCTACACATACCTTAATTATAGTTAACTAATCCCTTCTAGAAATGCACCAATAAAAATGGTGTATTGATATAAGATCATCAGATTCCATTAGCAGACTCCATAGTTTAAACTGGCATGTGTTTCCACTGTATAAAATTGTTCTAATACACCCATCCCTTGAAAAAGATGATGCAATTCTGTGCATAGAGCATGGCGAGAAGTTTTTTATTAATAACTTTCATTTCAGCCTTTATTTATTTCTTTAGAAGATTTATTTCTTTGGGGAATAATACATCTTGTGGATTTATGTGTTTTGTCAGTATATGTAAAATGCTTTCCTGGTCTAGTGGATGCTTATCCATCAGGGAGGAAAGTCAAGAGAAGCAGCCACTGGATTCCACTCCAGAAGCACATATTTAAACAGTTTCTTTGTATTTCTGAGCACCCTTTCAACTCCAATCCAACAGCTTCCTGCACTGATAGGCAAAATATAATATGTGTCAAGTATGGTATTAAAGATCTTTTTGTGTTTTAGAAACATGAAGATGAGAGCGATGCCTGGCTGCACAGACAGGTAAGAGTGATCTTCTCCTTGTGGCCAAGTTTTTGGTAGGATAATTTTTCCCCCAAAGAGAAAAACTGATTTCCAGATTTGAGAGAGATACTTGGAAAAGGGCAAGTTCTTAGTAAAAATGCCATCCACTCTGGTAGGTCCCATAGCCCTGAGTCTGAAATTTACTTGTATTTAAAAGAGATGAAAAGCTGATGTGGGTGGAAAATCACTCACTGGCAGTATCTGTATAGGACTCATCAGCCTCAGAGGCAACCCTTCATACCCTGCCCTGACACTGATGACCATGGTTTAAATACCATGGTTGTTTTCTGGTCATTTTATTGGGGGGATCTCTGCCCATTCAGAGACAAAATCATGCAAATAGAGTGCTGAGTCACTTAAATATCATATATAACATCTGCCCAGAGTCAGTTTGTGAAGGGATCTCAGATTATATGGAGCTGTTCTTGAGAGAGAAGCTGTGATCTCGATTCAGCCACAGCACTGAACTGGGTTTCAAGCCTGCTGTGAACTCCAGGCAGGGAGCAGCATGGCATAAATACCTTGTTCAATATATTTTTCCAAGTCCAGATTTAAAGTGTTTCAAATTTTTGTCAGAGCCAAATTTTGTTCAGAGGAGCCAAGACCTTTTAGAAATGGCACTATGAACAATGCTCTCCTCTGTTCCAGTGGCTGTCCTGCAGCAATGGGCTGTGTGTGATCCAGACGAAAATTTATTGTATGGGGAAATAGATTTTGTGCTCCAAGCATTTCAAGTAATCTTTTGCTGATATACAGTAGAAATGGTGCTGAAATATTCTTTACATTCATAAGGACTGTATTGGCTTGAGTAGGAAACAAAAGCTTAAAAGACAAGCCAAATCACGGGGAAATTAAATTGTCCAGATATTGTATATTAAAAATAAAATAGCTAAAAAAGCTTAACTGACTTATTTATTTTATAAGTTTGAAGGCAACAGCAGTAAAAAAATCCATTTATTGCTATTTACTGCAGTATAGTAGAGGTTGTGTTTTATGCTATTAATACAGTATAGTGGAACTTGTGTTTTTACACTGCTGTGGTTCTTTAGTCACCTACCACGTGGACAGGCATTAAAAGATGATGTTTTATCCTCAATATCTGAAGTAAATGATCTGCCAGTTTCTAATGGGGCCGCTCCAGGGAAATACATTTTGTTTTACTACATTTCCAAAAAGCATATACTTAGTTTGAGAGCACACACTCAGTTTGATGTTAGGGAAGGATGTCCATTACAGCCAAATGAGTCAGACATCTCCGTGCTAAACTAAAATAACATTTTCTATGGACTTTGGGGACATTTGATAGCATCCTTCAAAAGCTTTTGTAGGAGTCTGAAGAATTATATGGCTCTTTTGCCTGTATTTCTGACAACAAAATTACCTAAAATTCTAGTTTTGACTGAATATGATTACTAGGACAATTGTATTTTCTATATTTGCCTTTTATACTATGACACATTAATCTAGATAACTGGAAAGCTATTTTCATGGCATGTGTGCCTGACTGTGAGGATGATGTGAAAATGTTAAATGCTAGTTTGGGTCCACTGACCTCTTCAAGAAGGAGATGAATTGCACATCAGGAAGCTGCTGAAGGAGCTCAGGAGTGTGGCTCGGCTCAGGATGAGGGCTCCTTGGTTGAGACATTTTAATATAGAGTATTTTGAAATGAGCCAGGTGCCCTGTCCCCCCTGGAGACAGCCAGGGTGGTGGCAGTGGGGTCACACAGTCAAGGGACCCTGGGCAGGTTCAGCCCACCCCAAAGTCCTGCTTTTGAGAAGTGTCCCAACTCTAAATCGGTAGGACCAAGGAACCCAGCTGCTTGCCTCGTTCTTTAAAATTCTCCTTCAAAATTCTCCATAGGCATGGTTGGGAAAGCACGTACAGGTTTTACCTTCTTCCTGGGAATTTAAGTGGATCCTTGAATAGGGACAAACAGTCAATAGGAGACAAGGAGATCCTACTGGGAGAAGGAGACAAGAAGATACTCACCAGGGACATGAGAGGGTCTCCAAGGATGACAGGGTTGGCTTTTTTTAGCTGTCTGAAATCCTAGGAGCTCTGAGATAAAGCATACAAGCCATGAATTTTAATTTTGTTGTTGTAGTAGTTTGGTGACTCAGTGGCATTTAAAAGTCTGTGTATGGAAGGTTACAGTAAACAATCTCATATTTCCTTCTGGGCTTAAGTTCATGAATACATTTTATACAAGTCCAAAATCTTTGGAGAGCCTCTCTCCAACACAGGCAAAGAGAAATAATACAGCCACTCCCTGTGCAGCTAAAAGATAGGATAAGCTACTTACATATAATGAGGAATAGCCAGTATTTACACAGGATTTGCTAGAAAATATCTGTCACTCTTTGTCAGAGGAGGTGGCACATGTTCACTGAAACTGTCCAGGGACTCTGGAAGTTTATATTTCTTCTATTTATATACTTGCCTGTGCACTTCTGAGCACGAGAGCCAGACTGAACTTCACTCATATTTTTTGCTTAAATACACAAACTGTTTGAAACACTTATTATAGCTGTAAGCAAATTTGTTTCCGTTTTTGTGAAGAAGCCCTTTCCAATAGTTCAGGGGATGGTCATATACAGGCAATGAGTCAGCAAGGGAGAAATCAGGCAATTTCTGAGCACCTGCTGAAGATAAACTTTACTGGCATTTTAATTGGTTTATTTATTTAATTGTGAATATGGCCTGAAAAAGATTTAATTATAAACCAAGGTGCAATTGCAACTCCACCAAAGGCTGCAGTCTTTGTCATTGACATTGGCAGGACCAGGAGATTACCATAAAATTGTTTAGAGACCTATAACCACCAAGACTGCTTCTGTGGGCTGTCTGCCCTCCCCTGACAACAATTTCTTTGGGTTGCATTTTTCTTTCCAGTCCTATTTCCCCAGTGTTTCAGATGACCTCAGTCTGAAGTTAAGTCTCACTCTCTTAAAAAAGCAGAGATGTTGAAAACCTGGCACTAATTTTCTTTTACTACTCCCTTGCTTTAATCCTGCATGATAACCCAGTAATGATTCTTACATGTAGTTAATAGGAGGTATGAAAAGAGATTTTTAAAATAAAAGCAGAGTTCAGAGGAACTTACAAACAGGACCCACTTTTTCCCTCTGTAAAGCCCTTTTGCCCTGCAATTACCCCATAACTGACCTCATTTTGGCCTGAAGACAAAGGATGCACCAGAAATAGGACCCAGAATTCTGTAACTCAAATACCCAAATTCATCTACCAGAGATGAAAAAGCAGCTCCTGGCTACAAACAATCTTTTTGGTGCTTAAATGAAGAGTTCCCGTTTCACCCAGTGGAGGGGATCTGTAGAGACATGGGATCCTCTCCAGTTGTTGACCCCGATTTTGGGGCAGCTGCCCTGGCTTCAGAGATGGCCAAAGGTGTGGTGCACCCAGCCAAGGAGGAGGATGAGGATGAAGCTCAGCATTGTCCCAGGGGCTGAGTGTCAGGAGATGGAAGGAGATTTTTCCCTTGTGCCCTAAAGAGGTGACAGCATTATCCCATTAGAGTCAATGCACACTGGGTGTTTTCTTTGTTGGATTTAAACAATGTGTTTAGCAATATCCAAGGGATTCAAAAAATTCATGTCACACCCATCTGTTCAGCAGAGCTATGTGGCCTGTGACACAGAAAGTATTGGGGCATTTCACTGAAAGAATAATTGCCAACACAGCAAAATCATTAATTCTGGGATCTGGGCAAAGGTGAATCAGACAGAGAGGGCAGGGGACTGCTGAGGAAGGGAAAATGCATCAGAGAATCAATTGGAAGGGATTCAGTTATTCAGATTAATTTGTTTCCTTTTTAAAACCTGAGGATGAACCAGAAAATCATAATTCTTATGGCAGTATAACTCTCAGTCAGTAATAAAACCAATATGCAAAGAACCTGATTTACCACTGATTTCTGTGAGGAAATGTGTGGAGTCCAGCCAAGAGCAAGTCAGGCACTGTAGAAGAACAGAGGCTGGGAGTGTGTTGAGCTCAGACAAACCAGTTTGGAGCTGCAATGTGTGGTGCTGAAATATGATAATTGTTTGACCCATGGTAATGTGTGGGTGGTTTTGGTGGAGCTGTACTTCTGTGTCCACTCATCTTTCATCAATTCCAACTCA